TATTTTAGACTGCAGTGACCTATGATGATGTGCATATCGACTTCACTTGGGAGGAGTGGATTTTGCTGGATCCTTCTCAGAAGAATCTCTACAAAAATGTGATGCTGGAGACCTACAGGAACCTCACTGCTATAGGTAAGATTGAATTTTCCATCACACTTTAAAATAATGAGAAAACAGTTTCTTAGTTATTGATATACTTCTGTAATTTTGATTGAGAAAGAAGAAGACGAATGAGGTGGATAAATCTGGCATGGTTCTAAGGTTCATTGAAGATAGTAACTTAAATTTTGCACAATTTCCCATATAATATCATTCATTTTCTGGTGCTGTATTTTAGGCTACAGTTGGGAAGACTATAATATTGAAGAACATTATCAAAGTTCTGAAGGACATGCAAGGTAATTTCATGTGCAAGCTGATACAAATGTACCTATGGAGAAATTGTAATGTGTCCTGGAAATTTAAAACAAATGTAACAGTGTAAATAAGCACAATTTAAAGTGTACTGAGGCTTGTTATATTCTCACAAAACCAACTATCTCAATGTCACATAACTGACATGTGTTTGCAAGGCATTGCTTTAAAAACACAGGAAAACAATGCCTTATTTGATATCCCCATTTGAATTGCAGCTCCATGATAGCTATGCTATAGAATCACCAATCTGTTCAATTTCATGTCACTCAGATATTACATAAAGAATTCATGTTGGATAGGTGAGATGTATATATCCAATACCGTCTAGTAAGCAAATAATTCAGAGTAAACTAGTGCTACTCTTTTACTTGTTGTGACTTTTCTAAGTTTGGTGAAAGGGATAGTTTATGGGAGTCAAGAAGTTTTTGTGGAGAATCCTTAATCCCTATACCACATGTTTGTGAGGAACAGAAAGTCAAGCTGTGTGAATGCAGTGTAGAAACATTTTATTTATTAGCTTTCCTTTATCAATATATCATATGTCACTCTGGATACAAGCCATGAGAGCAGGGGTATATGAAAGGGAGCAATATAACTCACACACAACAATTAGAAGATATATAGTAGTCACTTTGAGTAGAATTTTTGAATGTGATACAAGTTTAAAATTAATTGCTTTTCCAAGTTCATTGGGAATACATCAACAAACTCATAGGCAGAAAAGCCCTATGAGCATTGGAATATATAAATATGTCTGTTTGTCCTGATTCACTTTGCAAATGTAGTATGACTCACACTATTGGAATATTTATGAATGCAATCAGTATGTTAAAGCTCTGAGTTCTTCTAGTTCTCTTCAAATATGTCAAGAATCTCATATAGAAAAATGATGTTACAAATGGGGACCCTCTAATAAAGGTTCTTACCATTACAGATACCATCCAAGACACAAAACATTCCTAAATATTGGAGAACACTATGAGTGTATACTTTAAGATCTCATTTGTCTTAAAGATTAGAAAAATTGTAAAATTAATTCATGCAGATAGAAATATTCATCAGTGTATTAAATGTGAGAAAGCTTTTACTTGTGCCAATTATCTTTACAGGTTCAAAAAATGTCATACTGGAAAGAAACCCTGTGAATTTAGTCAATGTGCAAAAGCTTTTTCATATCATAGTCATCTTCGGAAGCATGAAAATATTTATACTGGAGAGAAACCCCATGATTGTATTCAGTATGGTGAAGCTGTTGCACACAACAGTATTCTCCAAATACTTAAAGGAACATGTGCTGGAATGAAAACCAATGAAAGTAATCAGT